GGAGCAGCTGGGAAAGCGGAGCCCCGGGCAGGGGGGAGGGGGGCTGTGTCTTTGTCACTCTTACGGTGTTTTCCCTTGAGACACACACTTCCTTCAAAGCTCCGTGCCTGAGCAAGCGTATGTGCAATACAAATGCAGGGGTAGGGGATACCTTTAGTGGTCCAGTAAAAGTATCGCCTATTCCTGTGCTTGTTTCACCTGTTCCTGCGTTCATATATGCAAGGACACTGACGTTTAAACCCCCCCCCCCGCCCCATGATTAACCAGAAACCAGGAGGATAATCAGATGTCCTTTGCCTCTGAAGAGAACGCTGTTTCCGATAAAGTGCCAGCGAGGTTGTCTAGCTTGTGCCTGACCTGTATCCTTAAAAGGCTGCAGTAGCCAAGAAGGTGCAGAGGAAGGAGAGGGAAGGGGAGTCGGGAACCCACTTTTCTTTTTGTATATTTTATTCTGCTGCTCTTGAGGATCTTGGAATAGTTATGTAGCAGAATGCCTGGTGTGGGAATTAGCGGATCGCCTGACTCCTTGCAAAGCTCCAGAGACGCCACCTGAGAGGAAAAGGCAATTTTAATCAACCTTCATTTGGCTGAAATGAGCAGGCTAAGGAAATAAGATCCTCACTAAAGATGTTGTTGGAAATAACAAGTTGTTATTCCCCCGGTTGCCCCGAGGAAGTCTGTTAGGCTGCAGGAATGGGAGGCCGATTTTCGGGCTCCTTTCTTTTACTTAGACGATGCCGAGGGAGTTTTGGGGGGGGAGAGAGAGCACAACCCGTTTTCCTTTAATCAGAATGTCATCAAGGCCTTCAGCCATGAGGCACGTAAGAGGCGAGGCCGTGTCCCTTCCATTCAGGGGCAACCTCTTAGGCCTTTGAGTATGAAATGCCATGGATTCAAGCTGGATTTTCTGAACAGGACCTTCCAGTTGGTGGTTTGCTGGAGTTTCTGGTCCCTGTCTGAAGGCAACCGGGACTGTCAGTGGACCTGCCACTGCTGTGATGCCACACACACACACACACACACACAGAGAGAGAGAGAGAGAGAGAGAGAGAGAGAGAGAGAGAGAGCATCCGAGGGATGGTGAGTTCGGGGCAGACATAGGGTGCAGACTCACGCCTTGTCAGATGTGAGTTCCACAGGAGCCTGAGTGCATATCCAGCATGGATTTCAGGGTCCTGATGCCTGTGTAGCTTAGCTCTTTGTGTGCCATATCCTGTACTTTTAAAAAATGTATGAAAAATATTTTTATCCTGCCTTTCTCCTTAAAAAGGACACAAGCTGGCTTGCATCATTAAAAGACAGTACTGTATTTAAAGTTAATAATGGTGAGTATACAAATACAAAAAGAATCAAATACCATAATAAAAAACCAACACTACTACACATTCCATGTTTGTTCATTTGTGTGTGTGTGTGTGTGTGTGTGTGTGTTGTTTGTTTATTTGTTTGTTTGTTCATTCATTCTAGAGAGATGTGGTCCTGGAGATAGCTTGGATCCAAGCTGTTTAGGGCTTTATAGGTTAAAACCAGTATTTTGAATTCAGCCCATAATTCCTGCTGTAGCAGGATGGGTAGGGTAGCCATAGTCAGAAGTGATAGTTTTACATATGCTTCTTTCTCTCTCCCTTGAATTCATGGTGAGAAGCTTAATCACGCCAGCACCATGGCGGGTGTGAAGACGTACCCATGGTGATCCTTAGTAGAAAAATATTTTTATCCCCTGTGGTGTTCCTGACCCAGCCACACCTTGACTCCAGCAACAGCTGCGTCATCCCTGACACGAGGCATTGGCATTTATTTCACAGCAGGAGTTATGTCTGACATCACTCTGCCATAATGGAATGGCTGGTATATTGTATAGCCCCTTGGCTGGCTTTTATCCTCCATGTACCGTGTTTCCTCGAAAATAAGACAGTGTCTTATATTAATTTTTGGTCCAAAAAACACAGTAGGGTTTATTTTCAGGGGATTTTTCCCCCATGTACCACACTCTACATTTATTCAAAGACAATCATGTCATCTTCTGGATCCTGCACAAGGGTGGAAGGCAGGGTTTTACTTAACTGGGGCTTATTTTGGGGGTAGGGCTTATATGACAAACATCCTGAAAAATCATACTAGGGCTTGTTTTCAGGTGAGGTCTTATTTTGGGGGAAACAGTAACTGAACCCTAAATAGGTGAATTATAGAGGGTCTCCAGCCTCTGTGATGTTATACTTGGGGAGTGTTCTCTCATCCCATAAAAACAAGTAATAGAGATTGGTTCTTTACTTCTTTTGTCAACCTTTTTATTGCGGCTGTTACTCACTAATGCTTTCCGCCTACATCTCAGCCATGCTGTCTTCAGGAAGCTTGAAGTCTTTCGGAAGGCTTGTGCCTATTACCCAAGTGGATAATATATATGGAAGCAAAGTTGGAGTGAAACTTCTATATTTCTTACACAAACACATCCTTGGGTAGGAGTCAGTTGTGGCAGAATATGTGGGACTCTGGAATGTGTTCACCCAGAGGAAATCTTTGAGAAGTATGCCAACATCCTACACAGACAGGTATTTTACAATCTGCGTTTGATTTCACCTCTTTCACACTGCTATAGACTCAATATGTAGAGAGTGGTTTGGCTGATAATATTGTATTGTAGTGTTTAGTTGGGGCAGAAGTTAAAGTACAGGATGGTGCATCAGCGTGTCAATGTTTTGAGAGTAAGGGAGGGAGGGCTTGAGCTGAATTTTCATGTTTTTGCTGCATAGATTCAACAAGTACTGAAATAAATGGGTTTTAGTTATCCCATGCTTATTGCCTTGAAATTTCACAGAGGGAGAACAGAGTTATCACTTTTGCGCTGAGTTTAGAATACAAATATCCAGTACAACGGTATTTCATATCATTTTTAGCAGAAAAAAATACCAATCATAGGCATATTATTTAAATATTGCTGAAGTTTTAGCTTTATTGGCTGGCCTATTTTGTTTGAAATAATATGACGTTTTGTTATAAAAAGTCTAGATCTAATACTTCTGATCCATTTAAATACTGCTTATTGTATTAAATGGTGAGACTGAGAAACGGTGGTCTGAATTAAATAGTGCATATTGAGTTTTCATAAGCTCTCCAGTGCAATACGAACTCCAGCGTTTAGAAAGAGGTAATGCTATGCAAGGCCCCTATTGTGTTCGGGCTGCTAAGTGTGGTTCTTTCCCAACATTCTTTCTCATGAAGCAAATGACTTCTCTTGCCGCTCTCGTATGGCTTGCTAGCTGAAGCGGTTGTCGACTGAGTGGCATTTGATAGCCAGTGGCTGTACGTTGTTTGGTTTTATCATTATTCTTCTCCTATCCTGCCTTTTGTCAGAATCTAAGGTGGTGAACAACCATGAAAAAATGAGAATAACATAACCCTGGATGGTGTTTTTTAATAACAATAACAAAGCTATAACCTGTACTCTAAAAAGCATTTAATAGTGATATCTGACACTCTGAAGCAGTTTCCTTTGAAACTCATAAGCCTGAAGCTGTAACCATTCCCCAAAAAGCATCTGTGTTAGCCTGCCTGAGCACGTTGTCAACATTCAAAGGGGGGAAACCTTTGTGTGTGTTTGCTGGGGTGGAGGGGTGAGGAATCAACAAAAACAAAATATTATGGCTCTTGAAAGACTCATGCCTTCTCTCTTTCAGTGTGAGCTGTCATGGGATCCAAATGCATCTCTTGAGAGGCTATTTCTAAGTGCATGTGTCTGAGGAACTAGGATTTCATCCACAAATGCTTGCACTGAAATAAAAGTGTTAAGACTTTAAAATGCCACAATATTCCGTCCTATCCTCTCTTTTTTCTTTTTCTCTCTCCCCCCCCCCCAGCTTTAATTTTTGGCAACTGGCCTGAAAGTTTACCTGAAGCAGATGGCCTTTGTTGGCAGATGGAGAGTTCATGATGGGCCGAGGAATCGGCACTGGGTGAGGGTGGGGAGAGACCCAGAGACAAGGCACATCCTCTGAGACCACAGCCACCAGGACACTGTCTCCAACCCCCTGCAAAGTCCTTTCCTTGCCAAATGGTCCAGCAGGACACTGCGGTTGGTGGTCTTCACAGCTGCTCCTGAGCGGTCTGTGGGGAGACAGCCC